CCTTCGCGCTATCAACTTTTTGTACGTCACAGCGAACAAGAACGCCGGAGATTTTTGGCAGCTTTGAACGGATTAGCCGCCCGTGGAGCGATTTTCACCCACGACCATGGTGATCAACGGCCCTTGGAAAGTTTAAAGTTTTCTTTAAACGGAAAAATCTTTCAGGTAACTTTAAAGTTAACTTTCTGTAGCGCCACAAAATTAAACTTTAAAGCCCCGCGAAACAATATAAACTGAATAACAACGGGCCACCTTTTGTTCACTTCGCTGCTCCACTTTTCCCCACACCTAGGGCAGCTGTGACCCCAAAAAGACCCACCCCCTCGCTTTCGCAGTCCATAAATTACAATACCAAAGGAGGAAAATTACAATAGAGCCAGGTATTTGGGTCAATTTTCATTGTCTTTGCGTTCCTGACTGTTTTTATTTCGACATGCAAAACAGAAGTGGCGCAAATTTAGGGTTCCTTTTAGGGTATTGACACAGGAAACTGTTGCATACCGCGGGGCGTACAGAGTGGTGACTGTACCATTAAACCTCGAGTTAATGAGATACAGGTGCACATCTTTAAGATGGAAAAAAGCAAGTGCACACAGTGAATGCAAGAGGTCCAGTCATGTAGCATCCGCTTAGCGTTGATTTCGAGATCCTGGTTCTAGTTATTAGATACTAGAATATCTTGGGCTTCAATTTTGTGGATACTTTGAAAGATGGCGCGTATATTAGTTTTCTAAATCTTCTTCGGCTGGTGGATCCATTGTCTTAGCTTTGGTTTCGGTGCTTTGGGGTTGAGGTAATGGTTCTGTGTGTAGTGTTAAAATAATGTTTGGTGATGGTGGATAGGTTGTGGAGTTTGTCATGGTAGTGGGGAGTGGTAGTCGCAATATTTCCAAGGTGCAATCCCATATTATCCTTTCTTTCAACATTTTTAGATCTAATTTTGATGTCATAGCCCTAGTCTCTAGGTCAATCTGGATAGAGTGAGCGCAAATCGCTTAATGTGGGTTTTGTTCATGGTCTGGTTTTGGGCATCGTTCTTAATGGAGTGATATTCGGAATACAGTTGCTGGGCCTCGCACTTAAAGTTTTTCTTAATGTCGTGTTTGAGCTGTTTAACCAGTCCCAATCGGTAGTTAAAGTTATCTTTGAGGACGCTCATTTTCCTCTTGTACTCCGCCTTGGAAGTACGCTGCAGGATGGCCATTGCCACAGCTCTAGATGATGACCTTCCCGTCGAATTGCTATAACTTGAAAAATAATACAAGCTAGTTATTATAAATATTAAATAATATATTAGTTAGTCTTACGTGGAGGTGGTGAATGAGCTGACTTGGGCAACTTCTGAAACCATTTGCTTCCAGACTTTTCTTCGCTGCTCCTCGTGTAAGATGGCTTCTGCTTCCCTAGCGTTGATCTCATCCATTATATTTTTCCTTTACCTCCAGGGCCTGCATGCCACTAAAATATTCTTCCATGTCATTTTTTATCAGCTCCCTTGCTTCATCTTTATGGATTTTCTTTTTCAAAGGCTTCACCGTAGCTCTTTGTGATTCTGTGTCCTCTTTGGGCTGAACTGTCGTCGAATTACTTGATATCACTTGCTCCTGTTCTTCGTAGGTCGTGGTGTTATGCTCAGAGTTAGGGTGGGTACCCTGTTCCTTTGTATCTACAGGCTTCTGGGTTTCCATCAGATCTTCCTTTCCTAATTTTTCTGGGAGAGCGTTAAGATTTTCTTCTACGATCTTATGTTCTCCTTCGAGATTATTTTGGGACTCCTCAGCAATGGGCTGGACAGGTTGCTGGTGTATTGAATTTAAGGACTTATTTTCCGCTGTTAGCGTTTTATGCGATGCAGCATCACTCAACTTTTCTTGACTTGGCACCTTTGATTCTATCGGAATAGCTTTATCAGAGGCTTTCTTTATTATGTTGTCATCCTTATTATTGGGTTCTTCCTGACTTGGTTCCTTCAATTCCTTAGGATTAAGCTCATTTGATCTTGGATTCTTTGGAGTAGCTTCATCAGTGGCCTTTCTGATTATGGTATCATCTTCCTGACCTAGTTCCTTTAATTCCTTGGGACTAAGCCCATTTGAGCTTGGCTTCTCCGGAATTATAGATTTTTCGCTGTCTTGGTTCCTTCGATTCCTTAGGATTAAGCTCATTTGAGCTTGGTTTCTTGGGAATAGCTTCATCAGAGGGCCTTCATTACGATATCTTCCTTCGACCTGGTTTCTTCTTGACTGAGATCCTTTGATTTCTTGGCGATAATTTGATGCGATTCCACCTTTAGTTTGATGTTTTCCACCTGTTCCACTTTTTCTTCAACTTCATTCAGCTGTTTTGCAGTGTTTTTGGTTTCTTGAGTTTCGGATATATTGTTTGTTATTTCTGGACTTGCTCCGCTATCTTTCAAGTTATTCACATTGGATTGAGACTTCATAGGATTATTGACCGAATTCAATTTGATATTTTCGAGATTCAAAATGTCAACTGATTCTTCAGGAACGAGTGAAATTCAACAAACACATCTCCTTGTGTTCCCTGTGTGCACTTGCTGATTTCATCTTGTCTGTCGGTGGTAATTTTTCGTTTTCCAGAATTTCGCTATTTTTCCATTTTGCACGTCAAATAATTTTGTGTAGACTTTCGAAAAGAAATTTGACCCGACTGGTTTCACATTATTTGATTTCTGACTGGGTTTGACTGGTTGACAGTAAAGAGAATGAGAGAGAGAAAGTTCAAAGACTAATTTGACCCTTGACTTTTTTCGATAACAGTAAAACAAAAGGCCTATTCTTTAGAAATCTTCAAAGCCAAGGCAACTTTGTTTTTTAGCTCTAGGCATTTGGGATACAAATCACACAGGGCCACTTGCCACCCACAAAAGTTTCCTTTTGAGGCGCCTCTAGGTTTGCCATAAAAATAAAAGGCAAAGAAACATAAACATAAACAAAGCCGGACAGCATTCTTATCGCCTTCATTTATTATGCAAAGTTTGCTAGACTCTGAAATTTTCCAGCTGCATGCAAAGGCCTTAAAACTGAGGCTCGAGGTTTGACCTGGGATCAGGGTTAATCAAGGAGCACATTCATCAAATTGCCACGCAACACGAGGCCAGGGCATGCAATGCCATACAAATATTTTAAATTTCTTAATAAATAGTGAAAAATAATTTTTAAAAATTCAGAAAACACATGTTTTTTATTAATGAAAATGTAAATCCTTTTTTTAAAGTGGAAAAATACAAAAGAAAGCCTAATATTAATTATAGAGTGTGCAGTAAAGGGAAGTAGCTCGAGAATTTTTCATTTTCGACAGCTGAAACTGGGGCCGTAAAATTTTAATAAGTTTCCTTTCGAGGTAACGGCTGTTCCTATATCTAAGCTCTAACTCCTCATTCTCAACTGCCACATTCGTTGCCTCCCTGGCTCTCTAGTCTATAATGCAACATTTGCGCAACGAAAACATTTTTTTTCTCCTTCTGGTTCTTTGCCACCAATGGGTTTTGCGTCTAGACAACTAAGGGGCAGGGAAATTTGGGGGCTACAACTGCTTCTGGTGATGCGGCATTTTCGCCCCACGTTTTCCGTCTGGAACAATTGGATGTGGTCTGAGATTTAGAATACAGTCAGCTGGCAGATTCGGGGGCCTTATGTGGCTTAGAATAGCTCGAAGGAACATGGTCTGCATGGCTAATAAGCCAGTGCAGTCTGGCCCCGGAATACGTTTGAAAAGTGCTGTCGATATTTCGGGCAATATTCCAGGAAGGGCTTAACTTGATCAAAATAAGTAAAGTTTGAAAAGGGATTGTAAATAAAATATATTATTATTTAAATAATAACAAAGAAAACTTAACTTTTTAGTTGGATTATTTGAGAACCTTTCGTTAAGTCAATGAAATATTTTCTTTAAAATTCATCAGGATGAAAACTTTACTGACTTCTCTTTTACGCCACGGCATTTCCATATCTTGCCGCTCTTTTTTTTTTTTGTAACTCTGGCCTATCGACTTTGCACCACGATTAGCATGCACATTTAAGCCGCCACACTAACCGCATTTGGGGTTGTGCCCCCCCACTGGAATCCTGGTTCGCCCAATCATTGGGAATCAATGTGCCAATGAACTCGTCAATGAACTCGTTATCAACGCTCACTGGCGACTAATGGAGCGGGTTTTCCAACCGTTTTTCGACATGCGAGCACGCGAACTAAAAGTTTCAATAGTCCACATGCAGCACATGGCACGCCCACTTGCCTGTCGGCGCCTTTGCTTTGGCGGATCACGAAATTATTACAATTATTATTATTATTATTTTTCTTGTGCTGTTTATGCATATTTTTGGGTCACGCACGATGCGGCAAACTGTCAGCCGGAAACGGAATTGATTATCGGCGCTACCGAATCCGGCTTTTAGCGGTTCCACACCCCTATAAGTCCTTTTTCTCTTTTTTTTTTAACCCCACCTTTTAGGGTTTTCATATCTCTTTGCGTGCCTTGTTGTCGTTTGTTTGGCTGCATTTTGAATTCGTTGGCATTTAATGACTTAATTTAGCTGGTTGCCCTGTTGTTATGTTGGAAAATGCAGGAAAAAAACCTACTAGAGTTTTGGAAAAGAAAAAAAAATTGTAACAATGGGCTGGCCTTTATAGTTTCCTATAATATGTGATAATCAGTATTTTCATAAATTTATGTCGAAGAATTACAGCCTTCTCCTTGTGAGTCCTTATTGTTGGTCACTTGATCACCGGCTATCAGCTCACACACCTGACAACTTCTCAAAACGCCAATTACCAGAAAAAGTAAACAAAGGAAAAAGAGAGAGACCAGATCTAGCAAAGCTTAAGAAGCCAGAACAGTTCACCAACTGAGTTCCCAGTTTACCAGAACTAGTATATACCAGCACACCTAAAGGTCACACCTTAAAGTCGAGATTACATCCTCTCCGACAAATAAATGTAGTTTTATGTAGTTTTGGATTTGTAGAGATAGTTACCTTCGGAAAAGCCTTCACTACCTATGTGATACTTTCGGTTAAGGTCTCATTTCAGTTTTCAAAATTCCCTCAAAATTATAACGTAAACTCTTTGACTGGGTTTTTAGGATTTGTTAAACAAAATGACTGACAAAAAGGCGTAAGTTAAGAGAAGAAAAATAACGTTTAGAGTAAAAAGGCCTCTAACCTCTTTGACAAGCAAGACTTTATTTCTGCTCTTCCTAACCTTTCCCTATTCAACCTATTTCCTTGTGAAGATCATCATCCCGAGGCCGTAATCCTGTTATCCAGTTCAGCACCCCCATTGGAACTCCCGAAACCAAGCGCAAAATGCTTCTCTATAAACGATTATTAAGTCGAGATTTGGCCCGTGATAGTAGAAATACCCAGGTTATTCTGCAATCCAGAAATCGAAGCCTCTGGGAACAGGATCAGGGAAGGTTTCCAAAGTCGTGACAAGAAGCAATACAAAGCGTTATTTAGAGAAGAGTTTACGTTCAAGAAAAAGTACCCGTTCCGCTTTTTCTGTTTATTTTGGCCTGCTTTATATAATTTTAAATAAATATGCATTTAAATAAAAGTTCTTTATGATAGATTTACATTACCTTTGTTGGAAGGTAATTTCAATATCCCAGCCCATTCCTGCCATACTGGCAATTGGGCAACGAAAACAATTTCTGTTTAGCCAGTGCACTTTTTGCGGTTTCCACAGTTTATAATAAAGTGTTTGCCAGACACACAAAACAATCCAAATAAATAACATCAGCATCCAGAAGCGGAGTGGACTCGGAGGGTATCCCCCTTGGTGAAAAAGATAAACACAATAAAAAACAAACCGTTGAGAGTGGCGCAGAGGCTTTTAATTGCCATCAGGCGCCAACTGTTACCATTTTCTGAACTCAGTCAACTTTTATTTATTTATGTAAATTTGTTTTGCCTTTTTTTTTTTTTTTTTTTGGTATGGTGGGGAATGCACAATATTTGTCGCAAAATTGGCAGAAGCTCGAGCCCCAAACTTTGTCCGTTTATAGTCGAAAACACCAACAGTTTGATGGCTGAAAAAACAAATTGAAATTGTTTTGACAATTGGCTGTGGTGGCATCAGTGTAAAAATTGTGATAGAAAACTGTTAGAAAGGCAATTTGCAATGGCTCATAGCCTAACTAATTGGCAAGCCAACTTGCCTCCCAGGAGTATCAGGATAACTTTTGGCCATTTGTGGCATCCACACTTAATATGACAATTGTTTTGGGACTCAGAACTGAATTTTTATTTCGTGCTCTTAGTTATTCTCACGTTTTGGGCTTATGACCTGGCAAATGGATATTCCCAAGCTCAAAGATGGGTTTTATTGTTAACTAAATACAGTTAAATACTACAATTTTTAACAAAGTTAGATCTAGCGACGTATTGTGAACATTTTAAAGTTGTGGATAGGCAAAGGTACGTTTTCAGGAGAATACCGCCTTCTCGATCACCGAACGTGGACTGCCCTTGTGCTGCAGCCAGTATTTCCTTAAGGGAACACAGGTGTCTTATTAAGTATTTACTATTTCTTAATTAAGTTTTAACTTACATATCAGTCAATTGATCTAGTTGACCTTCCATCATGCCCTGGACTGTTCCGTGACTTGTGTTCATGCACCAGCCCGTAATTTCCAACTCTTTGGCCTTCTTCTGAGTGTGCTAAAAGTTAACAAAGGTCTTTATAAAAAACAGAAAATTAAACTAAGACTTGTTATTACCTTGCGGAAAAAGACACCTAAAAATAGATAATTTTTAAAAATTGTTAAAATTTTTAACTATATATCTTATATCTCACCCTGCACATGACCAAACACCTCAAATTGGCAACTGAAAATTTGGTTATCGGCCGCAGCACTTGGACCACTTTTTGGCTTTGACTTAATCACTTTTGGGATGGTAGATTTTGGTTTCTTAATTTGACTACTCATTTTTAAACCAATTTTTACTTTTCAAGTCGAGCTGTATGCTATGACTTATAGGATAAAAATAAACCTTTTGAATTTCTCAATGAATCAAAATTCAAAGGTAGATTGTGGTTTGTTAATGGAAATCTTGTAGAAGTAAACTTTTCTCCCATTAAAAATTAACAACAATTTTTCACGGCAATTTGGCAGCGCTGATGCTCCATCATAACGCCGAGTACTCGAGCACTTTTAACGCTGAGAGCGAAGACCTATCCATGAGCTTTTCCTTTTACCACTTCCGGTTCGTTAAGTTTAACGGCTGGCCACGGGAAAGACACCAGACAGGATCCGAGGAGCGGGATGTATCCAAAAGGTGGCCAAAGGAGCAGATGACGCACTGAGTTCGCCGCCTCAGTGAAAACTTCAATAAAACGTTTGACGCCGGAGGCGAACTGACATTTTCCATTAAGTGCAGACAGCTACCGAAAAAAAAAGATGAAAACAGGAGAATGCCAGCAGCTCATTTGCCGGGAGGCTGGGAGATGGGGGCCAAACTTTTATATTCCTGAGAGTTTTGTGGTGTAGCCACGTGTTGGTCGTACTTTTTGTTGACTGTTGATTATGATGATGCCTTGGGTTCTCTCAGTTCTCAGTTCTGGGATTCTCTTCTCCAGCCTCCCCAGTACCGCTTTCTAATGCGGCCCAGCCACGGCAGTCGGGAACTAGCCGTAAGAGAGAGAGCGGATCCAAGTAATAGAAGCTGACCAAGTTCTCCTCGGCTCGACTATCATCAAAGTGCCATCAGGACATGAAAGTCCTCGGATCACATCCGCACATCCCCTTTGCCTTATCAGTTGCAGGAACTTTTGTTACAATAACATTTATTTTGAAAATATTCGCCGAGCGCTGCCATCGCTTTTCTTCTGCTGTCAGCTCTTTGGGGACATCTTGAAGTGTTGCCAATGTGGCAAAGTAATCAGAAAATATTTTGTCAGCTTCACTTGCAGCAGCACTAGTAGTAGTAGTAGCTATAGCTCTGCGAAACTTTTCACTTGCCACTTAAAGTGCTCGAGTCGAAAGTTGAAATTGAAGAGCTGAGCGGCACGGCACGGCACACTCAAAAAGCCGCAGAGTTTTTGCAACTTTCATACTCAAATATTGGATTAGCAAATTGACGTTTATGCAATTTGATTTACCTACCGCACGGGGCAAATTAAATTTGCAGCCAGCCGCAGGCTTTTCGAGCCATTTCACAGCGCAAATTCGTTACAAATTGCTGACACAATGGAAATTTGCATAAAATTTCCATATGCATTTGTCGAAAGCGAAAGGACAAATTCGGCAGAACCGTGATGGGTGGAAAAAGGTGCAGGACTTATGAACAGTCGGAAGGCAATTCCCGCGTGAGGCATAAATTTAATGGCCAAAAAAAAAGCAGAGCGGGCAGGTGGAAGCCAACCAGTTCGAGGTGTAAACAACGCTCTTAATTTGCATTCGCCGGGTTAGCAGTTAATTTATTTGCAAGTCGCTCTAAAAAAGCCGCAGCCAAGCGGCTAACTTCTTTCCGCCGCCCTCGACTTCTCGACCAATTTTCATTAAAGCTTATAAATTGTTGTTTATGGCCATCTCATACTCCGCGGACATCCAAAGCCTCCCATTGGGGATCTCGCTCTGTCTGGGGTTCTGACTTCATTTCATATTCATGGACGCGCCGAATTCACCGAAACTCCTTCTTCCGATTCCTGCAGTTGGTCCTTTGTCCCTGGTCCTCGTTTTTGTTTCCGTTAATAAACTTTGGCAATTACCCTGGCTGCCTGTTGCCGTAAATTACTGGGATTTGAGCCGGCAAATTGAGACAGCAAGGGAAAGGGCTATGTCTAAGGATAAAACCAAGTTTTCACTTTCACAACGAGGTAACTCTTTGATATCTCTGTATAGTTTCGATATCTACATTTGCCTTGGCTTTTTCCTGTTTATCTGTTTTTATCCATTTTGCCATCAGACTTCAATACCATAAAACGCAAAATATGTGCAGGAAAAGTGAAAAAGTTGTGACAGAAAACCTGCCTCAATATAATTGCATTACTCGTGGCTGTCGCAGGTTAAAAGGCAAAAGAAAGCACACGGAAAAGTATTCACATATAATGCTGTATATATCTTTATTTATATGTATATATATCGAAAGCAGGAAAGACCGCAAGACCGCAATGAGACCACAATCCTCACCTTGGCAGAAGATCCCAACTCAGTTTTCCCAGTAAGACGACTTTTCATATTTTACCCAGCCCGTCAAGGCGTGAATAGATGTGGGTGGGTTGCTTAGGGTTTTCTTTTCCACAGCTTTTACACAGCAAGAAATTGGGATAGATATTTAAATATGAAAATGAAATAAAATAAAAACTAAGATAGTTTTTTCTTGTTAATTAGAAACAAGAAACAATATTAGGGAAAGTTTATAAGCCATGTTAATGTCTCCCTTATTTTCCTGTGTACCCACACAAAAACCAAGAAAGATCTAGAGAGAGAAGTGCTCAGAAAGCGAGCTCCTTGGGGCTGGAAAATCCTTTTGCTTAACCCAAGCGTGCACATACTTCAAGTGTGCTTAACCCACACTTAGTCTCTGTCTGAGAAACTCCCTTTCAAACCCCTCCCTAGCCCGTGGAAATCTCCCATGTTTGATGTGGTCTCTGCACCACAAATCACCAGGACGGCAGTGTCTGGAATTTATGCGCCTTCTTAGGAAGCTCTGAATGAGCCTGTTCCATATATATATATAAATATATACATATATATATATTCAGAAGTGTGAGAGTAGCGGTTATGTCTGTGATTTTGTCCCGGCCACGCCCTAATCTGACACTGATGTACACCATTCTATTGGGCGGCAACTAAGCATTCAAGCGCAACGCTCCCAGATGCGATGAGCTGGGACACTTGGATGGGATCTTGGGAAACCCACTTGGTCGAGTGGCTACGAAAAACCTTGGGCAGTCGTCACCAGCTACAAGCTACTAGTGACTAGCTTTTCACATTTTCCCATTCATTTTTCACGTTTCCACTGTCAACCTCACTTTCATATTTTTCGTTGGGTTTTTGGTTTTTTCGGGTCTCGAGCTGTGTGTAAATATTTTTACAAAATTATTTTACGCTTGATTGGAACGTGAAACGGAACAGGAAATCACTTATGACATTTTCCCTCTTTTTTTTTACTTGGCTCTATTGATTTTTGATTTAGGGTTCAGTAATTTTGTGGGCGACAAAATGATGTGAAAAATGAGAATTGACTTTTTTGATTATAAATAACCAATTTTCTGCCATTTAAAGCTGATAAATTATGAATCAAGTTTAAAGGTTAAAGTAAATAAAGCTGAGCTAAACATCTAACTAGAAAAGTTAAAAGTGACAAGGCAGATGTTTTAAGGCTCTAAAATAGATCTTTATAAGCTATATATATCTCCTTTCAAAAATGATTGTTACAATGTAATATCATGTATGTCTAATGCACTCAAAGTTTGCTACTTCAAGTTATAAAATTTACAAATTATCCGCTCTCAAGTGCCGACTTGGCATCATCTCTTGCCGCTTGTCGACGGCTACAAAGTCCTTTTTCCACTTTGCTCCTGTTGTTTGCCATGTTTCGAGCTGCTGAATAGGATATACTCGTACAAGGTAGCATCGACGAGCTTGTGTGTGTGTCCAAGCGAATCTATCCTGCAGCAGGCCCCTACAATAAACTGATTGTAACTGCAATCAGTTAGCAGACAAAGCAACAGAACTCGACTTGAGCCAACTACAAAGGCGACGACTGTTTGCCAAGTTGTAATAAAGTTTGGTAAACAAGTTGCCTCTCTTATACACACACACACACACACACACACTCTGAATCCCACACACAATAAGCAGCAGCAAGAGTGCGGCTGCCTGCAGCCTGTAAACCAAGAAACCCAATCTGGGAGTTTCCACTATTTTCACCCAACCCATTGCCCATTACTCACACTACCTGGGCTGCTTCTCGAACTTATCTTAAATTCTAATGCAATTGCATGCTGGGTAAGGGGAGGGAATTTTCAGGTGTTCTCTACAAAGATTTCATACTAATACTCTCTGTATCCTTCCATTTCGTTGCAGGTATGTAACATCCGCGTGGATCCGCCATTTCGCTATCCCTTTGTGTCTGTGTAAGTGGCAAACAAATGCATCCTCACTGGCCCACTACCATATATAGATAATAAAGCACTCGGCAATCGGTTGCCCAGGCTTTCAGTTCTCGGCTCTCAGTTTTCCACTCGCTGGTGAATAATGGTATAGCATGGTTTCTGGCGTGTGCTACGTGACGCTTATCAAATGCATCAGATCCCGAAACCAGAGAACATTTTCAGGAAATGAAAAAAAAAATCCGAGAACTGCAGGACAACGATTTGTGTTTTGTCGAATTTCGTCTTCGTTGCTTTAGGGAGTTTTTGAAGGGCGGTTTTTGAAATACCTTTGAGTTTGAGGGTCTTGGAACTTAGTACTTAACTTAAGTTCTAGAAATAGTTTCTATATTTTGTAGTTTTTATATAAAACTTTAGTTTCGGTGCGTGGTAACTTTCTTTATTTACTACTAAGTTTTCTAGAGTATCCTCAATTCGCCTTCCTTACATCCTATCCCTTCAGCCATCACATTTTTTCCTTATTTTCTGCGCAGTGCATCAGTTTTGTATCCTTTATTCCTGCCGGCTGTTGTTTGGCAGTTGTTGTGCTGTTCGCCAGTTTGTTTATTTAATGCTATTCACTTATCCTGCATGTGCAGCTCGAGTGACTAACTGACTCACTATTCACTGTTCAACATTCACTGAGGTTGCAACGTGCACCCGGATATGGTGCATCTGAATGCCTTGGCTGTCGAGTGAGCAATTCAAGGCCCATTGTGATTGCCGCATTCATTAGACAACTTAACGCCTTTAATTAAATGCCTCAAGTCGAAGGTTGCCCATTTCTCCTTGAATGCCCCCAATTCGACGATTACATGATGATGGCATTCCTAATTACTCTCTGGCCTTTAATTTCATGGACATATTTGCTAATGCAATTATTGCGCATAATTATGCG